AATTTCTTGGCTTTGGTGATGGCAACATGGGATTATACGTATCCTTCTCTATATTGTTTCACAATGAAAGGTGTTTCAAAAATACGTATAGTGTGGTTCGGGTCAGACATGGTAAACCATGGATTCTATGCTAGAGTCGTGATTCAGCTTCCATGAACTGGATAATGAATTACCCCCACCAAAGAGACACTGGCATGTCTTGGAATTTATATTGGTGATTTGCTTTGCATTTGAAAATCTAAGCCAAACAGAGGCAGAATAACTAGACCAACAACTACCACAACTGTTTGTCGAACACTGCCAGACACTGTTCTGAGAAATTTAAATGCATTCCTTCATTTCACCCTCACAATTACCCTTTGGGAAAAAGTAGGAACTCCTTTTATACTTACTTTTCAGCGAGGTCCCTGATTTGTCCAAGGCCACACAGTAAATTCTGTGCTCTGTTTGCTGGAAGAAGTGAGATCATGGGTCCAGGTACAAGCATGTATCCAGACAGTGTTTGCAGTGAGACGGACACTCAGGAAGCTGGAGTAGAGTCTAATTATGCATGAATGGACCTGGGTCCAGTATATTAACAAATAGGCGTGAGAGGACATACTTCAGCCTAGAAATCTTGGGCATTGTCTTAGGAGAGAAAAATAAAAGGGGTATCAGCGGGGTAGGGCAAGTTAGAGCCGTGGGAGCGCTCCTCAGAGTAAGTCAGGTTCTGTAGAAAAAGAAAAAAACCCATAAGTGCTACTATTCTTAGGTTTTACTACAGAATTGTATTACTGGGAAAGTGGTGGTGGTGGGGGGGTGGTGGTGGTTGGGGACGAGTAAGGTACCATGATTTGGGACAAAGAACTAATTTAACTTTATTTATCAACACCTACAGTTTGAACCATGAGACGTTAGTGGAGGTACCTCCTACTCACCTCATCAAAGATGAAATATGTAGGAAGAAATAATCAACAGCCTAATGCTGAGTTAGCAGACCCAAGTATGAAGCCACAATGGATGTGTCAGAAGGCGACTAGGATATTATTTATTTAAATCTATTTCATACAATTGAGCACCACCTTAATGACCTGAAAGTGTTAAAGTAGGTCCCAAAGTACCTAAATTACTCCCTAAATGTAATTTATGCTCGAGAATAATCTGACTAACTTGATTTAGAACAGCAGGAAATAAGTTATGCTGCACATAAATGAAGCAGCAGTGTAATTTTAAATACTGCTTGCATAGTGAATGAGAAGTTTAATATTTGCAAAATTTTAAAATCACTTGATTTATTATCCATATGTTTGTACTGACATTTCTGTCCTTTTTTTAGTTGGTTTTACATTTCCTCTTACTGCCAGGGGAAAAAAAAAAGCAACCAAATCCCCCCCCCCCCCCACACACACACTAATAATGTAGAGGGTAAAACTTATATTTATTTTCCTGAATGGTATTTTTAATATCTCTCTGTGTTTCTATTTGTCGCTGCCTTTTTCCTCCATCCTGGGCAGTCCGACAAGAGCCTAGTGACTGATTAGAGATGAAATTTATGAATGTAACATTGTAAAGCTAGAACAATTTATATATATTCATTGAGAATTTTCCTCGGTGCGTAAGGGTGTAAGTTTAAAAGCAGTCATGATAGAAAATGATATTTTACATAGTAAATTCAAGAATAGATTTAGACTTTCCTGTTAACAACACATATTAAAATGCTGAAAAGTATATTTTAAAATTTTATGCAATGCTTGAAATGGAGTTTAAAATATTATTACTCGCATTAAATGCTGTCACGTGTAAAGTGCATGCTTTTATTCTTTAATATTTTGTTTGAATAGACGTACTCATTTTTTAACATTAATTTTAACAATAAAATTAAATCAACTTTACAGTTTTCAAAGTTTTAGCGCGTGCAGGCCATAATGGATACTCTAGATTTAGATGTTTGCAAAGTGACAGTGTTAGTAGTTCAAACCAAGTCTTTTAATGCAAAAGTTTGGATTGCAGAAGTTGGGGGGAAAGGGAGAGAGGGGGAAAGAGGGCGTTTCAAGAATAACGTACTGATGTACAAAGGCATACAGGCCTGAGGCAGCAGCAGGGCCTGGGGAACCACAGGGAGCCCTGTGTGGCTGACAAGTCCCTCCTGTCTCATTTTTTGTGGGTCTGGAACAAGGCTGTAAGACTATGAGCAGGGGCCCACAGCCCGTTTCCCTTTTCTTCCTACCTCTGGCTGTTTCTTGAAGATCCAGGAATACTGTGATCATTAGGACCTATGGGCCCTTAGGGTTTTCTTCTTTTGAGAATCTTGGAGGAAAGATGATCTCTGGAAAGGAACAGGGCTCGGAAGGGGAGGAGGCTTTGCGGAACCTAGTAGAAGGTGGTCGTCTCCAGCGCGGTGATGGGTGGAGGGACACCTCTGTGAAGCAGCCTAGAATGAAAAGTTGGTATTTAGAGGACACATGGGAGAACAGCCACCTGCCCATAGCTGAAAAGAGTCGGCAAGAGGCTGATTTTGGTGGTGGGGTAGGGGGAAGCAAAGCAAAGTAGGAGGGAGACCGATGGCTGCTATAGAGGTAAAATGGTAAATTGTGACTAGATGTCAACTCCCGTGTGCGTTGGTTAGCTTCCGCCTGTTTCTCGGGCTCTGGTAGTGGGAAGAGTGTTGCAGGCGGTAGTCGTTAGCGTGTGAACCTGCCTTTTGAAATACTTGGAAGTTACTGCATTTTCCTGAGTATCAAAGTATGAAGTGCACGTTGTAGAAACACTTAACAACATGGAAAACTATACGGTGAAAGTCGAAATCAACTATAGTCTCACCAACATGGGACAGTACCAACTATGCCTCATGGCTTTTTAGATTCTCTTTTAACCACAACTTTGACTGTAGTGATGTGTCTAGAAGACGGATGCAGTGTACACTTTTCTGTTAAAGGAAATAAATGCCTATGGTGTATCCTTAAGTCATTTATTGTGTATTAGATAGAGCCAAAAATATAAGAAAACAAAATAATGATTAAACATGCAAAATATTTCCAACGTCATTTTGAGGTTGATGGATATACCATATTTGAGCAACTCTAGAAAGCCCTTAATTATGAAAGGCAGAATTCATTCCTTTAAACTAGCTAGAGTTACAGATTACCCCTTTCGGCTACCATTGGCTGACTTTTTAATGCTAACAAGATACTGTTTTAGATATTTTTAACGTAAGAAATAGAGTTCATCATTAAATGTGGTATCTGATAAAATGCAATGTAGCTGTAGATGCATTATTAAATATTTGGAAGACAATAAAGAAGATAAAAAGAAACAAAAATCCTACAACTATCTCTTTGAATTATTCAACTGGTAAGACTTCATCCTGAAAAAAGGAAATCCCACGAAAGAAACTGGAAGACCGTGAAGGGCATGGTGGAAGCCAGGGAGATCCGAGTTAGAATCCCCTTTCTGGCATCTTACTCTGTTTACTTTTTGGCAGGCTGCGCAGCCTCTCACTTTTCTCTGGTAGAAAATGGGAACAATAATTGTTGCAGTGCAGGGGTGCTGCAGGAATCCAAGAATAAGTAAAAACTCAGAGCCCGCTGCCTGGCTTATAATAACCGTTAAGAAATCTTAATTCCGTTCTCTTCCCAATAAAAACAAGAGGGAGTTGGGGTATTATCTCAGTTCTAAAATAATTTATAGTTCCTAAATGGAGGTACAGATCTGAAAAGATGTTGAGATATTCAAAATTATAACCCATTGAAACTTTAAGTGTAGACTTCCTAGAACTTCTACAGGCTTATTGGACTCTGAGGCAGCCCCACAGCCAAGAATTCTTCAGGATGGTTTTGGTTTCATGACAGCAAATACCTTTTTGGACAGGCCCCAGGAGACCCACTAGTTCATAAGCCCCATAAGACTTGAAAACTTACTTTGCAGAGTATTTTTCACCTTGACTGTACATTCGGATAATTGGGGTGCTTTTAAAAATATGAGTATCGGGGCGCCTGGGTGACGCAGTCGGTTAAGCGTCCGACTTTCAGCCAGGTCACGATCTCGCGGTCCGTGAGTTCGAGCCCTGCGTCAGGCTCTGGGCTGATGGCTCGGAGCCTGGAGCCTGTTTCTGATTCTGTGTCTCCCTCTCTCTCTGCCCCTCCCCTGTTCATGCTCTGTCTCTCTCTGTCCCAAAAATAAATAAACGTTGAAAAAAAAAATTAAAAAATAAATAAATAAATAAAAATATGAGTATCAGGATCCCACCTGAAAAGATACTCATGGTTCTTATGTGCAACTGTCTTAGGATAAACATACAGCCCTGACTCATTTCTGCCTCAGTCACTTCTTTGACTGGAACATGACCAAATACTTCCTTCTTAATATTCTTTTCTCGTGGGATAATAACACAATACCTTACACTAAATTCTTTCACCATTCCAGGTGAAAATGTTAGCAGATGCAATAAAACAACATTAAAGGAAGACGACACTCATCACCTGGTTTAGATGAGTCTATGAGTTAGTTGGTTGCTTATATCTGATCTGACGGTGTAAGTCACATCTGTCATCTTGAATGCTTGAGGACCTTAATGAATAAACTCTTTCAGATCAGAAGTAATACCAAATTTGTAGGCTTCATGAGATAATTTGATTTTGACTCAAAACATATGTTGACATTGACCCTCTTTCTATCTTTGAAATACTTATTAGATGCTAATATACTTTTTAAATTCCTGGAACTTTTTTTTTTTACAAATTAAATATGCTAATAGGGAAGAAAATGTTAATAGTCCATAATTGTTGTTTTTAGCTTTGTTTCAGTCAAGAAATGTGTTTGATTTTGAAGGGAAAATTTATAGCCTTTTATTTTAATTCATCCTTTTTATTCAGTATCATTTACCTCTGTTAATTGAAACTGAAATCTACAAATGTGACAACCGATCAAAATAATATCCTTGCCAATGTAGCAAAACATACATGCTATGTCCATATAATTGGTATAATCTATTTATTTTACTTGATCCATATTTTTGCCTCTAGGCGATTTGACAGATCTGTGGAAAAGTGGCGGCGGTTTCATTATGATATGAAGATACTTAATCAATGGCTAACAGAAGCTGAACAGTTTCTCAAAAAGACACAGATTCCTGAGAATTGGGAACATGCCAAATACAAATGGTGTCTTAAGGTAAGGTTTTGAGGCCTCTTTTTTCAAACTGTGTTTATCTTCACCACAATATCACAACTTTTTAGCTGCTTTAAGCTCAGGCTGTGAAGGATGACGGCAATGTACAATTCCTGACTTTTGTTGTGATCACTACACATACAGAGCATCATTGTAATGACCATGTTGGGAGACTGTGCTGTGGACGACTTGTCTCAAGGTGGGAGTTAGCCTAGGTATAACTGGCTTATCTGATGAACTGCAAAGTATAATTGAATCTGTGATACAGGGAAGCATCTTGCAGCAGGGTGTCCTGTGGCTTTGGGGTAGTTTGTGTTTTTGCCTCATGTTGAATCCTGTCCAGGAGGAGAACCTGTGGTAGACTTAGCAATAATGTAGTTCTGGAAATATCCATCATGATAAAAGTATAGTTCTGTTTCCCTAGGGACAACGGTGGTGATGTAGCAATATTTGTATATATTCTATTGACAAAATGCCTTCTGAGATAGTCCAGAGGCCAAAACAATGCAGAGTTAATTGGGGGTACTTACTGACTTTTTTATGGCTTATGTTAATGGAAACGCAACATATGGATTGTAACCAGCGTATAGTTTATTTTCAAGTTGCTGTGTCTTTTGAGTGTGCAAATAAAGATAAATTAGATTTTGGAGGTTATAACTTAGGTTATAAAATATATAGTTTAGGTACAAGATATACTGAGTTTATTACACCAAGTCTTAAGTACTTTTTGCAACTGTTTTAGCTCCAATTGTTCATGTACCAGTTTTCAGTCAAGCAGATTTGAATTGTGGCTGGATTCATAAAAGCAGTGTCATATTCAAATTTACAGTTCTCTATTCTCAAATAGTTTTTTTGCATGGCAAAAATACCTTTTGATATTAATAAAGTAAGCTTGCAAGCACTTACTCATATGTAGGCAATGTAAACATATGGCATGAATAATTTTAAAATCTTTTGTAATTATATGTATATCAAACTTGTATATACATCAGCATTGGCATTAGAGATAGAAGAAAGGCACGGCTTTCCAATCTGCCATCATACAGAAAATACATTTTGTAATAGCACTTAAGTAAACTTTGAGCTCCTGCAGCATCCCTAGGTCTCTAAAATATGTGTCACAAAGGTGCCATTGAGGAGATGTTAAACTTCTTGCCATTGCCAGAGATACCCTATACAAGTAGTTATATATTTTAATCTGGTTTTATTATTTAAAAATATATACACTCACTATAAAAAATAAAGCAATGCACAAGTGTGTGTATACTTCCATTCTACTCCTCAGGGAGTGGTTGTTTGGATATGGATTTTGGTACATATTTCAGGTCAGCATCTTTGGGGAAGCCCCCTCTGAGATGGCGATTAGCATACGGAAGGCTGATTAGGGAGTGCTTTTGGAAATCGAGAAATTGGTTTATGATGTGCCTTGGTATAATTTTCTTCATGTTTCTTGTTCTTGAGGCCTCTTAAGCTTCTTGGAACATATGGGTTTTTAATTTTCCTCAAATGTAGAATTTTTAAGGCGTTAGTTTTTAGGTTCGGTTCCTTTTTATTTTCGGTCTTTTTTCCTGTGTAATTCATTTTACATGATTTATATTGTCAAATTGACCATCGAATCTTTTGCTATGTCTAATCTGTGGTTAATCCCATCTAGTGTACCTTTTCAACCCCAGACATTATTGTTTTGTGTGATTCAACACATTGTCAAAGTATGATTTGGGTCTTGTTACATCTTTCATGTCTCTACTCAACTTATCACTCTTTGCTCTACCTTTTTGAAAATGTGGAATACAATTATAACAACTGTTAAAATGTCCTTGCCTTGTAATTGTATCATCTGTGTCTATTTTGGGTTAATTTCAATTAATTTTTCTCTTCATTATGGGTGTTATTTCCCCGCTTCTTTGGATGACTGGTAATTTTCACTGGATGCCAGATGTGAATTTTAACTTGTTGAGTGCTTCATATTTTTGCGCAGGTAAAGATTCTCGACCTTTGTTCTGGGACACAGTTAGTTTATTGGAAACAATTTGATCTTTTGAGCACCTCTCTTTTAGACTTTGTGAGTTTTGAGCGGGGCAGCCTAAGTCCAGTGACCCACTACTGAGACAAAACCCTTCTGAGTACGGTCTCTGATGCCCTGTGAATGATGAAGTTTTCTACTGTGGCTGGCAGGAGCAGGCACTATTCCAGCCATTTGTGAGCTCTGGTGACTGTTACTTTAATCTTTTTGTGTAGCTCTCTCCCTAGTCATGTGTAGTTTCCTCACATGTGCCAGCTGATCAGGATTCAGCTGTAGACTGGAAAGGAACTCTCTAGGTCTCCAGTGTTCTCTCTCTGTGCATCTATCTCCTATTTGGTACTCTGCCCTGTGACCCGTAGCCACCTTGGACTCCAAGGAGTCCCAGCTTCGTCTCATCAACTCAGGGAGCCCTGCTAGCTTTGTGATGGTTTCTTATCCTTTGTCACAGCCTTGATTTCTCTTCTGACAGTAACCTGGAGCAAATGTAGACTCACGTCATTTGTCTCTAATTTCTCAAAGATCTGTATCTGTCATTGCCTGATAAATAATGGCTTCACAGCCATCACTTCATACATTCTGTCCATTTTATCAAGCTTTTAGCCAATAAGTTAAATCTGTTGCCTGTTACTCCAGCTTGGCTAGAAGCTGCTAATTGATGTCATAAGATCTTTTAGTACATTTACTTCTATATACTCTTGCAACTGTGTAATGCTGGTAAATGCTTTAAGAGTGTCTTAAGATCCCCAGTTCTTGACAGTGTGGTTTAACTGAAATGTATAAACATCTTTTAAAAACTCTTTCCCTTAACTAGAGGACTTTTTTAAAATGACTATTTTATTTAGACTGTTTTTGACTCCATTTATACATGAAATATGGAAGGGAATTCTGGATGTCCAGGGAAAAGTCCTTTTAGCTAAGAAACTGTGAATGATATTGCAAGTCCTTTAAAAAGTTAAGGTGTTTTTTCCCCCTGGTGATTAGAAAGCTCCAAGATCATTCACATGCACATACATAAGATGCCTGGGGTTATCCTTCCATTCTGGTAAGTCTCAGAAAAAGAGTCCAGAAAGACTCTGTAAGGCACCACCGTTAGTAGGACACACAGAAGCTCTGATAATTTCAGCTATCTTGGCCGTAATCATTATCAACTGAGGAATAACAATTAAGAGAAAGAGTTTAAATTTTTGCTTAGAAATTATTTTAGGAAACAGAATGTTGATGGTGCCTGTTAGTAGCAGAGAGATTTGTTGGCATGGGCCAGTAATGGTTGCTTTGAGGAAAATCAACCAAGCAGCCCATATACTAAACAGATATATACAGCGGTACATGGGGATTTAAAGCCTCATATGTAGAAGGTTTAGCAACAGTATCACGTCTAGATATGAAATAAAATAAAAAGATTGTACAATGTTGTAAGCGTTTATATATTTCTATCAAACTGCATTTTATTTCACTCATTCACTTAAAAAAAAAAAAAAAAGATCAGTGTCCTACTGACTCTTGGTGTTGTCATTCAAAATAAAATGACTGCCAACACCAGAAAGATGGTCTGGTTCTGTGCAACTCAATGATGTTTTTCTCTGTGACAAGTTAATAAAATTAAATATATGAATCCATGTTTTTCAAGATATTCCAAAAATTTCTTTATGCCACCATAGAAAAATTACATGTTTTTCATGTAATTACATGTTCTAAAAAATTACATGTTTTTCATGAGAATATATCAATTATGTTATATGCCACTAAAAACTCACTTGTTAATACATTCACTCGATTACTTGTGCCTCTTCTTATATATTCATGCCACAAGCAGTAACTGAGTGCATGTGCAAAGTTATGTTACCCACAAAAATATTGACATGCCACATTAGGTAGGCTCTGATAAAAGTTTTGAAGATTGGCTAAGAGGTTGGAAGGCACATTCAGAAAGTGTGGGTTCAAATCCTAATTCCTTTAGCTTAATAGCTGCAGAATCTTAGAAAAGTGTCTTAAGTCTCTCCATGCCTCTGCTGTCTCTTCTCTTAAATAGGAATAAAAGTGCAATCTGCATATAGCACTTAGAATTGCATTCTCCCCAACATAATTACTCATTAAAATGAAAGATATTATTATAACTTCATAAGTGCTTAGCCTATATCTATAAAAACACAAATATATTCACTTAATTACTGTCCCCAGACGTCGGAAATGCAGATTGAACAACCTGGCAATTTCACTAAACCTTGTTTTTTTGTAATGAATTATGACATTTTCTCAAAGGACAGCTCTTGGATTAGGAATCGAGGAAAATTCTAGTCCAGCCAAGCACATCCTCCTCAGATAGCTGATACTTCTGCCTACCCATTTTAGAGCAAGAAGAAATGTTCATGGGGGTTTTCAAAGGGAGAGCTGAACACCATGAAAGAGAGTTATGAAAATAACACGAACTCCTATAGTAACTGTGAATTGGTGCACCAGGAAGTACCTTGAATGAAAAAGGAAAAATGGAAATCATGATGTGTCCTAACATTTAGCTTTACAGGTTATCCCAGAGTAAAAAGAAGCAAGTTTTAAAACATGGAGTGTTATTTAATGGGGTTGAAAATTCTTGAGGTTTACAGTAGAAATGATCAAAATCGCCATTAGATCGAATATTTTAAAAACTGGAATATTCTTGCTGTTAATGGAAATGGAGCCTGTTTGTTCTTTGGAGTAGTGCTGCTCTGTGGACCATATTTCAGCTCTGGAAAGCAGTTTGCAGTTACTCAATAAATTAAACAGAAAATTTCCACAGGACCCAGCAATTTCACTGCTGGATTTGAAAACATGTGTTCAAACAAAAACTTGTAGATGAATGCTCACAGGAGCACTATTCATAATAGCTAAAAGGTGGGAAAAGAAAAACAAATTCCCATTAACACATGACTAAATAAAAACTAACAGCACCTTCTAAAGATTGTTGCCATGAGCAAGCAAGAAACCTTGAAATCTTAAGAAATGC